GAAAGAGTGGAATGGGGAGGACGAGATCGGGAGAGCTGACCTGTTGGAGAAGGGGACAAAGCGCCCCTCTGTCTCCTCTCCAAACACACCACTCCCCGCCTTACTGATCCAGAAGGGAAATATTTGCCTTCATAAATGCTGCACTGCTGCAAGGCCTTCGGCTCCTGCGCCCTTATTTATTTATTTATTAATCTGAGGCCCTCACTCACATTAATCTGGGTGCAACTAACAGTTAAATTTGTAAACCATATGTGGCAGGCTGCTGCTGTACAGTATGTAGAACTCAGTAAAGTACATTTCAAGAAATACTGTCTAGATTATTTAGTGGACAAAAACTGCATTCACGAGTAGAGTTCTAACCCATAAATAAATTCACTGTATGTCATTTGTTTAATGTGCTCCCAATGCTGTATGAGCTGGACTGATGTATTTGAGTTCACATTCCATTATTATTTACACTGAGTAAAGAGGTTCCTCTCAGAGCTAGGCCTCTCCCTCCATCCACGTACAGCCAACACCCCTTTCAGAATTCAGATGGAGAAAGAAAAACAAATCATCATGAAGAACAAGGAACACACCAGGCAGGTCCGAGATACTGTTGTGGAGAAGTTTAAAGCCGGATTTGGATACAAAAAGATTTCCCAAGCTTTAAACATCCCAAGGAGCACTGTGCAAGCGATAATATTGAAATGGAAAGAGTATCAGACCACTGCAAATCTACCAAGACCTGACCGTCCCTCTAAACTTTCAGCTCATACAAAGAGAAGACTGATCAGAGATGCAGCCAAGAGGCCCATGATCACTCGGGATTAACTGCAGAGATCTACAGCTGAGGTCGGAGACTCTGTCCATAGGACAACAATCAGTCGTATACTGCACAAATCTGGCCTTTATGGAAGAGTGGCAAGAAGAAAGCCATTTCTTAAAGATAGCCATAAAAAGTGTCGTTTAAAGTTTGCCACAAGCCACCTGGGAGACACACCAAACATGTGGAAGAAGGTGCTCTGGTCAGATGAAACCAAAATCAAACTTTTTGGCAACAATGCAAAACGTTATGTTTGGCATAAAAGCAACACAGCTCATCACCCTGAACACACCATCCCCACTGTCAAACATGGTGGTGGCAGCATCATGGTTTGGGCCTGCTTTTCTTCAGCAGGGACAGGGAAGATGGTCAAAATTGATGGGAAGATGGATGGAGCCAAATACAGGACCATTCTGGAAGGAAACCTAATGGAGTCTGCAAAAGACCTGAGACTGGGACGGAGATTTGTCTTCCAACAAGACAATGATCCAAAACATAAAGCAAAATCTACAATGGAATGGTTCACAAATAAACATATCCAGGTGTTAGAATGGCCAAGTCAAAGTCCAGACCTGAATCCAATCGAGAATCTGTGGAAAGAACTGAAAACTGCTGTTCACAAACGCTCTCCATCCAACCTCACTGAGCTCGAGCTGTTTTGCAAGGAGGAATGGGCAAAAATTTCAGTCTCTCGATGTGCAAAACTGATAGACATACCCCAAGCGACTTACAGCTGTAATCGCAGCAAAAGGTGGCGCTACAAAGTATTAACTTAAGGGGGCTGAATAATTTTGCACGCCCAATTTTTCAGTTTTTTATTTGTTAAAAAAGTTTGAAATATCCAATAAATTTCGTTCCACTTCATGATTGTGTCCCACTTGTTGTTGATTCTTCACAAAAAATTACAGTTTTATATCTTTATGTTTGAAGCCTGAAATGTGGCAAAAGGTCGCAAAGTTCAAGGGGGCCGAATACTTTCGCAAGGCACTGTATATATATATATATAGGCTTATTTCTGGCAGCAGGATGGTGTATGTGGGATTGAGTCAAAATAAACAACAGTGCATATATTCATGGTAATGAAGGAGCATGTCATCCAGTGCAGCAGTGTGGCTCACTGATGTGTTTTTATTCCTTTCTGGACAACATGGAGCTCTATGGCACAGAGGAGCAAGATACACTGGGCTTTGGATACACAAGCAGTACTTGGTTTCATTGTTGGTTTGATTTCTGCACGTGGAATTTCTTGACAACAAGAAAAATGTCAGTTGAAGAAGCACTGACTCCTTCATGGTCCTGAGGACCTAACAATTTGGAGAAGGGGAATCACACACACACACACACACACACACACACACACTTGTTTTTTCATAGTCCTTTATTCAAACAGCATTACACTGATCCACAACTCACCTTAGAGTCTCACCAGACATGGCAAGGAGAGCAGTGCTTTGCATAAGGCATACAACTGATTTAGTTTTAATGAGTCTCTTTTTCTATAATGCATGGAACTACTGTGAGATCACGTGGCCTCCGGTTGTCATAAGTTTTCTTTGGGATATTTGAAGAAGGTCAAACAGAAGCTAATCGTGTATTCACCACTAGTTTTTCACCTACCAGGCAAAAATATCAAACAAATGCTG